ACAGCTTAGTGTGGAAAAGTAAGGAAACAACTAATTAAGTAAACATAAGCAGCTACTATAACATCCATATGCTGGTCTCATGTGTTTGTTTCCCCTTTTAATTCTCTTACTTCACTTAATTTTCCTCCTTTTTGTGGTCACTGTGTTTACATTATATATTAAAGTGTCAGTACTGTGTTCCTGTAAAAGAAGCAAAATGTGCACAGGTTTTAGTTTGTGGATGTTTGGGATCAGGGCAGAAGTTTCAAAGGGTCAAGATGAGAAGGTCACAGAGGAATCACCGACCTTCCAGTGAGCTGCCTGAAGCATATTAAAGGGTCCAGCCGGTGCTGTGCAGGCTGCTCTTGGGATTTGTACACAGTTAAACTGCTTATTCACATTTCACAATGTGATGTAACAAAGCAAGTACTCTGACATTTTTACTGCAACCATATTTCAATATTTTCCAGCCGGCCATTTGTGCTGTTGCAGCTGTATGATGAGCCCGAGCTGTGCAAGCTCAAAGGGATTTTGAACACATTGTGTTAAGGTTAAACAGTGAGTTTAAAACGCATCTCTCTGGCTTCTAGTTAGAGATCAGATCCTGTGAGACACTCACAGAGGGAGTTTTTTTAGTTAACTGTTTCAGTTAATGCAGCTCCAATATGAATTACCAGTGACAGCCACTAAAAAACCCCCATTAACACAAACTTACAGCAAGCACATGATAAATCCACTGTAGTCTTTAAAAAGTGAGCCGGCCTTGTATCAGCACAACCACTGCTACCAATTTCACACTTAAATTGCTGAGTACTTCGCCATCTAGTGGTAAGTACTCTGTAATTTATGGTACAGGTACAGCCTGAGAGAATGCCTGAGTCTGTGAGCCTGAGCTCAGGCCTAATGCACTGACTTAACTTATTTACAAACAACTCTCCTCACACATTTGCTGATCCACCATGACAGAAGTGTAGCAAAGTTACACATGAAAACAAAGTAACTGAAACTTATTTGCAAATTTACAAATCTGATCACACAAACAGCCAGTTAACAGAGAGCTGTTTGTTTCATCTATTTTTTATCAGTTGTTGATTAACTTGTTGCTGCTCCATATCAGTGCAATTTATGAAATATAAGGTTAGCAGATTTTGACAATTAGATGCATTCAATGTTGTACACAATGAAACAAAATCAAGCAATTCAAATGAGATGAAGCATAAACTATTTTATTATTTAAGACATAGAAAACAAAAAGGTGTTCAAACTGTTGACAGCTGTCTTTTTTCACTTGACTAAACACGCTAAACATTTGCAAATGCTAACAAAGAATTAAAAAAATCACTCCAGTGCTGAGACAAAAAAAAAGCTGAGATGAAATAAAAGTCGAGTTAAACAAAATTCAGTGTGGATATAACAGGTTTAGATGAAATTAGCATAAGACAGTCAAATAGATCTCAAATCATATATCTGTGAGAATAAACTTTAACTTAAACATTGAATCTAAAATCAAATCGAAAATTTCACCACTCAATTACAAAAAATGATGTTTTTGTTGTGGTTTCAGATTTAATGTTTGAAATTAATGATGAAAGAGTGTTAACACTTGTTTGACAGCAGTTTTATGATTTAGTTTCCTTACATCTTTAACTATTTGATAAACAAAAAAATCTTTGTTATAAACAGGTAAATGATATGCTAATTAACAAAATTAGGTTAAAATGTATTTATCTGGAAAACTCTGGAAAAGCCTAGATGGACGAAACATTGAGAATGTGACTTTTGTATTTCACTTTGTATTTTTTGTGAATTAACTTATAGTCACTCATAACATCATCTTCATGTTAATAATCTATAGAATTTCCTTTTTCTCACTCAGACAAAATCAGACTGTCACAGCTGGATTCACGAGTTATTGGGTCAAAACAAGTATCGTCATTTTCAGCAGATTTGCAGTTTCTTTGGCTCATTTAAACATTTCATCCAGACTTTTAATGGCTTCAGGTTCACCTATTTTTTTCCATTGGTCTGGAATAGCTCCACTGTCCTGGAACTTTTTCCCATAGTGATTTTCCAGTTTCGTTTGAAATTGACAAACAAACCATTTCCAATATGCCAGTTTAGACTCATCAGCGGTGATTCTCCAGGTATTATACGGTGGACCAGCAGTTTTGTACTGTGTGTAGGGAATGGCTTTCTCTGAATCAGACTCCAGGCGAAAATTGAGATTACTTGCAACATTTGTTGTGCAGAAACTGATGCTGAGGACTTTAGTTTTTCTATAGTACCATCCCTTTATCCCATCAGGTCGATGAAAAGGAGTGCTGTGGTCATCAGGACTGTGATCTTTCATGGTGTTGGTACAAACAGCTGCACAGAATGGACACTTTACCCAGCAGCAATCACAAAGCTGATCTATGAGGATTTCTTCAGGCTTCTGCCTGGATTCATTCATCTTATCCAGGGAGAGGCTGCTCATCTGCTTAATGATGGATGTAAATCCCTTTTCTATCTCTTCCTTGAGGAAATCAAAATCTTTTATGTCGCTGAAGTTTTCAGAGCAAATGCTTTCAAATGTCAGCTCATCCTTTAGGACATTAGAAAATTCTTTCAGCCACATTTCTGTGTCTCCTCTCTGATTTCCGACTTTTTGTGTTGCAGTAAATAACGCTTGAGTCACACTTTTTTTGATGTCATCAACATTTTTCTTGAGTATATTCACAGCTTCATCTTTGTGATCTCTGAAGATGTACTTCTCAACCTCTGCTTTGATGAAAGCTTTTGTTTGTCTCCTTGGATTTGTGATGTATGTGATGAAATCATCAAAGTCTTTTTTCTCAGCGAGTGACTTCAACACATGTTTCTCCAAGTTCAGTCTGTTCTCTTTGAATGCTGGGAAATTACACCTCATCCTTCCAGCGAGATCAATGGCAGTCTTGTTACAGACAGCCTCAACAGTGGAAACTCTCAGCTTTTCACACATGAGTTCTCCAAGCACAACAGCAGATGAGTTTTCTTTACAAAAGCTTCTAAAAACTGTGTAATACTGTGTTTTCTTGCTTTCTAAATAAGTGATTGGATCATTGTTCATTTTAAATTTCTTGTGGGACTCCAAAAGCCAACTTTCTGCCCTGTAGAACACATACAGTAAGAGATCAACTGTAAACTCCTTCTTCAAAGTGTATTTCTTCTCTGACAGAAATTTCTGCACTTCTTCTGTTACATGATTGGCCCCTTGAATCAAGTAAGTTGATGTGTAGCCTCTTGTGGCTACAGGTTTGCTTTTGATTGCATCAAGTGACTCTTTTTCCACTTGGTCAATGAACGATCTGACCTGTTGTTGGTCTTCATGGGAGAAAGCACTACCTGAGATTAGTTTCTTAAATGACAAAACTTTTTCCCTATAAACTGAATAATCACCAACCTGTGATATTTTCTTGTATCTGCCACTTGTTTTACATTCATGTATGAGAGTTGGCTCCAAACGAAGTTCTTGAAGGATTTTTAACTGATCTTTTTCCAAGTTAATTTCTTCAACAGGTTTTGTATCTGCTGTTAATTCAGTAACCCAGCCGCTCCAAACAGAGCTGAACTGTTGTTGAAGCTCTTCTTCATCTTTGGCCTTATCCTTCAGCTGCTGAGCGAGCTCTTTGCTCTTCTGTAGCAGTTTGTTCTCAAACTCTGATTTCTTCCCATCCAGCATTTTACAAGCTTTCTTTTGCTGGATAACTCCATCCAGTTTTACTTTCACTCTGGTCACTTGTTCATCATGAAATTCCTTAATTTTGATTTCAAATCGTCCTCTCCACTGAGCCAAGATCTCTCTGTCTTTGTCATCCTCAAAGTACTTTATCATTTCTTTTTTGACTTCTTCATATGTTTTACTTGTTTCTTTAAAAAGATAAGATTGTTCAACCTCATCAAGTTTTTCATATTTAATTCTGTTATGAAGTTGATTTTCAATGGTCAACATGTTGCTCCTCAGGGTCCAGGTCCAGTTCCCATACTGGACTTCGAGTTTTCTGTAAACTGAAATTTCAAGTGTGTTTTTAAAACTAAAAACAAAACTTTCATTCAGCAGTGCAGTCCACAGGTCTTCAATGTTTGCTTTGAACTGTGAGAGAGTGATCCCAGCAGACTTTGAAGCTTTAGAGAGGATGGTGTTCTTCACTTCCTGGATGCTCTCACTGTAACCTGGATTTGGAGGAGCCATGGGTGGACTGCCCTCCCACAGCTGGGCACAGTATTTCACATCTTTCTGAACATCAAATTTAATGACATCACTGAAGCACTCTGCATTACAAACTTCCTCTTTGGCTGCTAGTTTGGCCATCTGGTCCAGTTTTTCCTGCAGGCGTCTCTTTCCATCCATGTTTTTCTCTGCTGCTGCAACATCTGTGACATTCTGGTGAACAAACACACAACTGGGAGAAAGTTCAATTTCCTTCATCCTCATGAAAGCCTGAACAACAATCTGCAGGATGTCCTGCATATCAGAAGGATTCTCTCCAAAGATGTTGATCAGTGTCAGGTTTCCCAGACCAACAACAAGTGTTGCCAGTTCATTGTCATGATGAAGAGTGTTGTTACCTTCTAACTCAAGAGCACGCAGTCCTTCAGTGTCCACCACTAGAACATAGTCAAACTTCAAGTCTTTCTTCATCTCCTCTGATACTTTGAGCAGCTGCATGAAGGCACCTTTGGTGCACCTGCCTGCACTCACTGCAAACTGCAGCCCAAACATGGTGTTCAGCATTGTTGATTTTCCACTGCTTTGTAGGCCCAAAACTGACAACACAAAAACTCTCTGGTCCCCCAGTTTCTTGATGACTTTTTCTAAAAGACTGGAGATCCATGTTAAAGGCACATGACCTGCATCACCATCCATCAGCTCTATCGGGTGTCCTGATATCATCAGCTGTGCAGCCAGCTCAGGGTATTTAGACCAGTCAGTGTGTCTGCTCTCTCTTTGTGTTGTTTTATGGGCTTCATAGATCTGACCCATTTCTCTGAAGATGTGCTCCAAACCAAAAGTTGCAGACTGAAGTTTTTTTGATATGTCTTCAAGGTCAGATTGTGTTTTTAATAACAGATCTGATTTGTTCGGTTTGTTCTTCAAAGCCAAGACCTCAGACCACTTTTCATCATAACTTTTGAGAATTGAAGAAACATCATCTGTGGAGAGGGCATCTGTTAAGATCTGAGTCCATTTTAGGAAATACTTTTTCTCTGTTGGCGGCAATGATGAGAGACTTCCAGTGAACAACTGCACCAGTTTACTGCAGGAAGCAGCACATTGTTCCTGACGTATGTTCATCAGTTCTTGTTGCTTTTGACTTTTTTCCATTTCAATGTTTCCGCTGAGATGAAACAGTTCTCTGTGTATTTTGCTCCACTGATGCCACAGTTGGCCTTGACAAGTGAGAAATTCATCTTTGATCTTTGAGACATCCATGTTATCCTTTTTAAGCATATTGATTATTTTCACAGCAGCCGATTTCCCTCTTTGACAGGCTGGGTCAGTTTCATCCACTCTGATTCTAGAGAGCTCAAACATGGTTTCAAGCTGAAAGGATGGTTTCAAGATGGGACCATCGAGAGAAGAAAAAACCTCTCTAATGATCATTTTCAGCTGTTCAGATACATCTGAGTGGCTTTTGTCTTTGAGGCCCATTATATACTTTCCCTTTTTTGTCTTAACAGCATCACAATTCTCATTAACTGTGAGACAAATGAGAGGCTTATGAGACTTAAAAAGAGATGATATGAGTGATCGACTTTCTTTATTGCTTTGCAGAGATGCCAGAAGAAAAATATTAATGGAGGATTTTTCAATCAGTATGTCACGCTGTTTTTCACTCAGTAGAGCATCACCATGGAGATTACAAAAGGCAATACAGTCATTGAAGTCATCATTAGGTTTTCCAGCAGGGCAGTACCAGGCAATCTCTGCCACACCATCCATCAAATAGCGAGACTTGGTGCTTCCTGAGGAGTTTCTTTGTAAGGTATCG